CTACGTTTGCTCCCGGGGAATGGGTGTGGTATTTTTATCCTCCTGCGGATGTTAAGTTGGGACTTCCGTGGCGGGGCCCTTTCTTAGTATTGCGTGGTAAGGGTAACGTTCGGTGGATTCAAGCTTCCCCAGATAGTGTGGTTAAGGCGGTGGCCGTAGATAACCTGAAAATCTACGAGGGTGTGAATGCGCCAGTCTCCTGGTTGGGAGATGGGGCTGAGGTTGTAGACGCAGAGGTGGTTGGTGGGTCTGGTGGTCCGGGGAACGTGACCCACATAACGCGTTTAATCCGCTCGGCACGGATTCCCAGGCGAAGGATGACTCAGGGTCGGACGAGGTTAATGGCTCAGGATTTTCTCGTTCTAGCCGCAATACTCAAGCGGAGAAGGTGGGGCAGGTGGTTGGCCCTCAGATTGGTTCTGGGGATGTTCCTGTTAAGCCACTGGTGGCGGGGCATGCGAGGGACCGTTTGGGTGGTTTTGTGTCACTCTAACCCAGTGTCACGAGCACCGGGTAAAAGATTAGTGAGAGCTCCGAGTCACTACGGTTATGCGTCCCCGTAGTAAGTGGTTGTCAGACCGAGGGGTGACTGTTGATTCATGAGGAGCAAGCCATATAATGGTAGCTAATTCGTTTATCTACAGTTTAGTCTCTTGCCATTGTGGGTAACTATTCCATGCAGTCTGTAGTTCCCGGATAATGTTATCGTGCCATGGTAATTCTTGGTGCAGTAAGGTAACCCTGGATGTCGTGTGTGTCACGACTGTCCTTGGTAGATTATTCTCTGGGTTAATGTCAGACCGAGTGTTTCAGGGCTCGCCATAGTAATTCGGGAGGCTATGCTGTCTGTTCCGTCCGGGTTGCGGCATTTTGGCCTGCGGGTCAGGCCTAGAGATGCTGATATATCCGGTGAGTTCCCCTCTTCCATGGTGTTTTCTGATAATACTACCTCACCTTGCTTGAGCGCTTGGTAGTGATGTAAGCTGAGGCTATGCTGGTTCTCAAACGTGTGGTTTTCCGCTATTGTCCTGCGCATCTTTGAGCATCCGGAGCTCCGTGGGGGGCCAGGATGACAGTCTCCCGCCAGTAACTCGTTTCGGGCGCACTTGTAGGGGCGCCTAGAGTTCCTGACCTGTAGTTAACGCAGATATAGGGGGTCACGGGGCCGGCCATATTGCGGAGTAGGGACGGGGTGCAGGTTCCATACTGCTACGGGCCAGTGTCTGTCGGCCAAGCGACGACCCCCCTCCTGTTCCGTGGAATGTCGCACCGCACTGATCCGGGTTTCTGCTAGGGAGCATCCATGGTAGTTGCGTCACGTGTGTTCTCTAGCCGGCTGGTACCGCGCTACTCACCCACGGGCATTCAGATTTATTACCCTTGTCGGAACGAATTTGGGGTTAATTCCCCATTAGTGTCGGAGTTTGAGATGGATTCCGGAGTTATCCTTGATAACTCCGGAATCCGCATCACGTGATGGTCGAGTGTGTGATTTGTAAACTCCGACGTATTACAGGCTGGTAGGGGAAGACCAGGACGGTTTGTTCACCGAAGTGTGTACGTCATATGGTGTGAGTTACTCGTTTCAGGGGGATGAGGATGATTATGGCAGAGGACGGATTCGACCACCACAATTCCTGCGGGAGGCTAGTAGGTGAGGAGGAGCAAGGTGAGTTACACCAAGCACTGTGGTCTTGTGACTCACCATGCACGTGTGAGTCGACGGTAGAGGCTGGTGACTGGTATGGGTAACAATCTCGCGTTTGCGCGTACGTGGGCGGTGAGACGACTTATGGTGTATCCTCTCCATGGTTTGTTTCAAGGGTTACCGTGGGACGCTATGTCCGGGGCGGACATGTCGCCAGCCTCAGCTGGCGAGCGGATGGAGGTGACGCAGCCGGAGGAGAAAGCTGCGCCGGAGACGACGCAGCCGGAGGAGGAAGCTGCGCCGGAGACGACGCAGCCGGAGGAGGAAGCTGCGCCGGAGACGACGCAGCCGGAGGAGGAAGCTGCGCAGGAGACGGCGCAGCCAGGGGAAGGAGCTGCGCCTGAGACCGAGGAGGAGGCGAGAGAGAGGGAGCTGCTCGGAGAGGAGCCCATGGAGCTCGGCGACGGATAGAAGGAGCTGCCATTTGCGGACGAGTTGCTGCTGTCCCCTCCGGCAGCGAGAGCGACCCCAGTCGCAGGGGTCAAGGCGAGTCGCCGAAGGAAGCGCACCGCGGTCGTCAAGACCCCTCGTCCGGTGAGTGCGACTCCCATCGACGTCGATGCCTCGTCAAAGGATCAGTGCCCTGCACCAGGGGTTTGGGACAGCCTGCGGGAGCCACCCCACCCTGGTCCCCGGCAAGAGGAAGTCGGGCCTGCCTTAGTGGATAGGGGGCGGGGCAGGAAGGTGCGGAGAGCGGACGCTAGTGAAGGAGGGTCCACAACCCCCCCTGCGCCCCGGCGAGAAAGGCGCCGCCGCACGTACAGAGGCGCTCCCCCACCAGGACGCAAATCCTGAGGGGGGCGGGCCCGCTGTACGCCCGTTTCGGGGGTCGTCGCGAGCCCGTGACCTCCCTAAAAAACTAGGCCTGGCACTGGTGCGTTCGATGCGGCGTGCCGACCTTGCACGTGGTCGACCACCACGCCGAGTACCATCGGCGGGAGTGTTTGGTCGCTTCGTGCCCGATCCAGGGGTGTGACAAGGCCTACCCAGGCGCGGTGCTCTACCGCCTGTCACACCAGCTGGCGGCAGCGCACCACCTAGGTCGCGTCTACCGGATGGGCGCCGACGGGAGGTGGCCAGAGCGACACGCCCGTACCCCCGAGTACAGGGAGTGCGCGAATGGGCTACCTCCGGGAGAGGACGGCGCTAAGGCAGAGCGCCCAGAAGGTGGCGCCAGCGTCACCACCAGCCGGCCGAGCCATTCTGCGCCCGGCGCGTAGGGATGGCCGGGCATACGCGCAGGTAGTGGCTGGCACCAGCCCGCCCAGGCTTGTGCCTGTAGCTGCGCCCCGGGCCTCCTTGAAGCGAGGGCCGCCTACCGCTGCGCCCCGGAAGGCAAAAGTGCACGCTACCGGCGTAGTGCTGCCTGCCACGGAGCGCACGACGTCGACTGCCGCGGGGCGCGCGACGTCATCTGCCGCGAAGCGCGCACCGTCGACCCGGACGTAGCGCGCGATGTCGGCCGCAGCGAAGCCCGCACCATCAACCCGGACGGAGCGCGCGACGTCGGCTGCAGCAAAGCGCGCACCGCCGACTCGGACGGAGCGTGCGACATCGACAGCAGCAGCGACGAAGTGCGTGCGGCGAGCGTGCGAGGGCAAAGCGTGCGGCGAGACGGGAGGCGGCGTCGGCGAGACAAGCGTCGAATGCAGCGACACCGGCCACATCAGCTGCGTTGGCTCGGGTGCCCGCGGAGTCCTCCGCGTCGACGTCCGAGCCAGCCATGGCAGCTGGCTCGCTGGAGCCGATGTGTTTAGAACACATCCCTGACAGCGACCGGGACGTGTTCCGGCGGTTTTGCAGCTTGTGGGGGGGGCTTGCCGGCGAGTAGCGGGGACTGGGACTGTCCCGCGCTTAGCTGCGCAGACGGCACGCCGGCACCAGGACTCGTGCACCAGATGGGGGTGATACAGCTCAACCAGGCCGTCCTCTGGGCTCACAACCGCCTGCGCCACGCGCGCCTGGTAGAGATCGCGGCCCTGGGCGAACTCAGGGGGAGGACGGAGGAACTCCTATCCCTGTGGAACCCCGGGGACAAGCCACCCCAGCAGTAGGTGCGATCGAGCAGGGCGCCGGTGCACCGCTCGGAAGGCCTTCGGGATCGACCTGACGGTCGATCGTGAAGGGGGGAGGAGTGTAGCGGTGGCACCGGGCCCTCGGATTCCCAGAGCGGTGGGGGTGTAGCCCCCTGGGTACTGGGAGATGGGGAGATGGGTAAATGTTTGTTATTGTCTAATTGTTTTGTGTTTGTGTCTGTTTTGTCAGGGGTTTGCTTACCGATTGTAACATCAACAAAGGGGGCTGCCATGCCGGGTGCAGTGGGTCCCCCTTTAGCGGCAGAGCTCGGCGAAACAGTTGGCCCGCAGGTGATAGGCGGAAATTCGCCGGCGGTCTCGTGGTAGTTGGCGGGAAGGAGCGCAGGAGAGAGGTTCACATAGACAGTTCGGGAGACAAAGAGATAGAGAGAGAGTTGGAGAGTTCGAGAGAGAAGTATAGAGTGTGGTAGAGAGAGGGAGAGAGATAGCCCCACCGCGTTCTGCCTCGAGCGGCCGTTCGGTGAGTAAGCCCCGTATTGTCCCGTCGTTGTGGGGTGAGTGAATAATACAGTACTAGAGTAAACGTGTCGAGTCTGCACGAATAGCGAGGGAGTTAGTCTATTTCGTGCGCGGCTGTACGGGAGGGGAAGCCGTCGGTACCTTACTGTACTGTAGCCCTTTTTGCCCGGCTGCGTTCATAGTCTATACTGTGTGTTTAACCTCTGTGTTTACTGTGGGTATACACTTGTTATACATCGTAACGCGAGTCTAGCGGGCAGGGGGCGGGAGTTGCCCTGCTGTGTGTGTACGTGTCGTTACTCGTCCTGCACTGTCGACTAACTACGACGCATCAGGACCTGAGCACAACAGAACGGGTTATTGCGGGAGCGCAGTAGCCTAGAAGTGCTCGGGTGGCTAGCGGCGTCCGGGAGGCAACGATACGGCCAGTACAACGCCTCCGGGCACAACGGGTGAGTGGAATACCTGAGGTTGTGTGCTAGCCATTGAGTGTTGACCGGTGGCGCCATCGGGTGTCGCCGGAAGACGCGAAACGCTACAACTACTTATATTTCAGATAATCCTGGTAACTAACAATACACAGTGTATTGTATCTAACAATACACTGTGTATTGTTACCGAGCTTTCAACAATACACTGTGTATTGTTGAACACCTTCTACCAATACACTGTGTATTGTAGTATGTACCTATGATACGTTTAGTCAAGAGAAAACTATTTTCATTTGGCGCGCCACGATTGCCATTTTGCAAAATGCCAAGAAAGAAGAAGAGCGCAGATTTTTTATTGAAAGAGTAGATACAACTAACAAGGAGTATAACGTATTTGTAGAGCTGAAATAAAAAATTCAGTTGTAGGATGTGTAAATTAGCGGTAAGATCTTTGACATTCGATACGTTAGTGTATTAGTTCCAGATATTGATAAGTGCACGAGAAACCCTTGCCCGCAAAGCTAGGTAGGTTTACTCGTGTGTAAATATGCGAAACACAAATTTAAATCGGTAAAGTTGGTTATGGGCACTACTAGTACTATACTAGTAATAATATTTAGAAGGCAGTGGTTACTGATCCGCACGTGTTTAGTTCTAGTGTTAATTACTATTAGTATTCCTATTGCTCACAGGGTGTATGCATGTCCCCCAGGTTACTGCCGGAACGTACCCCTGGGTACCGTACCACAGGCACTTATGGCCAAAAATTAATGGTAAATAAACACGAAATGTACCAAAGAAGTCTTAATGTTTCTCTAGGCCTACTCTATATAAGTTATAACTCTCTTATTCATGTTGTTTGTGCACGCAGCACAGCGCGGGCGGGCATTCAGTGTACTTGTGTGTTGCAGATAAGCATTTGACCGGCATTTACAGGTGATTATAGGCGAAATAGAGTAGGCCTAGAAAAACATTAAGACTTCTTTGGTACATTTCGTATTTATTTACCTTTTTTTTATTGAGACGTTTCAAGTGCCTGTGGCGTAACTATCTAACTGATAGGGTTAGGGTTAGAATTAGGGAGTAGGCGTAAGCGACTTCCTAGACTCGTTAGTGGAGTAGGCGAGGTACGGTCCGGCATATTAGATAGTAGTATATTTAGTATCAGGGTACGTTCCGGCAGTACCCTGGGGGACATAGACCCTATCAGCATTACTATTACTAGTAGTACTACTTCTGAGAAGGTCTATGTCCCCCAGGGTACTGCCGGAACGGTACCCTGGGTACGATCCGGTATACCGGAACGTACCCTGGTACCAGAGCATATAAATCAACGTGATTTATAGGCTCTGCTGGTACGTGCGCTACTATTTAATATGCCCGAATAAAGGCCTCTCCAGCTAACGGCAGTCTAGGAAGGTCGCCTACACCTACTCTAACAGCGCTAACATAAAACCCTAACCATATCAGGATAGTTACCAGGTAGGTTCGCGGTATTAGACCGATAGCGTACCGCAGGTACGTTCGCGGCAGTACCCGATGATCTGGGGCGGGGACCATACGCACCCTCCAGCAAGTAAATATAGTAATAATAGTAGTATTACTGCTTGACGCGCTCTAGGCCTGGTGTCCGGCAGGTACCTGCGGACGTCTGGGTATCGTCGTATAAGAGAGAGATATACCTACAGCTTCTTTGATAAAACAGGCCCGGCGTGATCATGAGCTGGTGTTGGAGTCGACGAAGGGTCGAGGACACGTGAGGAGGAGTGTCACCTGTAGAATCTGGTTTATGGATATTTAACTCCAGGGTATATAGTTAGGTGCATCTAGTAGTCAGATGCAGCTTGTAGAATTGCATGATGTAGCGTGCGTCGCGTGCGGTGGCGTCGGTGGCGTGCCGTCGTCCGGTCCGTGCGAGCGATGTGCAGCAAATCAATTACCGCCTACGACGTAACGGTCCACGATAATTCGGGACGTGGGGGGTAATCCGAAAGACGAGTTGGGATTGTCACGACGTCACTGGGGGTCAAAGATCAAAAGATGCAAAAGAGGTGTCATAAGGAGAGGGGGAAGCATTCGCCTCCTTATCGTGAAGGTATTAGGGAGAGGAAATGCAGTGATTGCGCACAAATTAAACGCTTGACCTAGGCTCGTGATAGTTGGTGTCTATAGGCATCATGGTAGGAAACGGCCTCACTGTGGGCCAAAATATTGCAGGTCACAGAGCGTCAAAGGTCCAAGTGGGGAGCACAGGGCAGATTTTAGCAACATTTCCATGAGGAACGATGGTCTGACGGAGCCGATTGGAAAAACTTTTTTGTTTCAGTCGTGACCCTACATTCTCTTAATGGCTTTTAATTTGAAAGGACCGTGAATTGTACTTTCGCTGCGCTGACATGGCGAAGAGTAATGTCGAATAAATCTTTTGACGCCTAAAGAGAAGGCTATATAAACATTGGATTTGTTTACTTGTTCGAAAGAATCTGACTGGCGGGTTTGCCTAGTAGAATTTATACATGCCTGGATGCATGAGGCTACAATGTCAGCACCCGTGAAATTCTCAAAGGCTAAATTTAGTTGAAGAAGGTTTATGCTTCTTAAATCGTAATAATTGTCTACTGGCATTCTGTCACGCCTCGCTCCGAGTTGTTACATGTACTATGCAGCTCGTCAGTGGCATGTGAGGTGGGATAGTACTCGCGAAGGAGTAGTTGCCTGCGTTAATCTAGTTTCAGCAGTGGCAAGCTCTCTATTTCAGGGCCTGTAGGCTTGGCATAGGTAAATGGATAGGTGCTTACTTATTCGATGTTTGCAAATAGTTGTTGCTACTACGCTACGATGGGAGCTCTGTCCATGCTTTATGCTTAAGACAGCTAAACTACGCGCCATGGTCGTGGTAACTTTTAAATAAGCGTGTCCCAACGAAGCAATTAATCCTTGGTGAGAAGGTCACACCTCACCACCCGATCCCTAGTGCGCGGTTCCACTGTTTCGGGCACGTATGTGCAACACATGTTGGGAGGGCTTACAGGTTTACTAAGAAGTCCCACCACTCCACCACAGAGTCACCGAAGTAAACGTTAGATGAGCTGTGCGCTCCGCCACTGTTCTTGAAAACGAATCGTGAATAAACGCGGTGGAGACATACATGGGTAAACAATTGTGTCGCTGCCACATGCAATATTGACTGCTCACTGCAGATCAGACTTTAGTGTGGCATAATATAGAACGGGCGCGTGGGATGGTGTGCGACACGACCAGCAGAGGTTAGCAGCAGTTCTGAGGTCGCAGTTAGCAAGCGTTGGCATCACACCAAAGAATTTTATAAGAAGATAGGTGGAGCTTACTTTTGGCCAGTGGTAGTAAACCTTACTTGTGTTGGCCAGGTTTATTTCGTGCATGCGGGTCGTGCAGCACTCTCGCCTGTTCACCGGTGGCGCTAAGTTGTAGGAGAATCCTGACACATCTCACTGCGCATTTCACGATTGGAAAGTAAACAATAAAGTATGCAGTGGTAGGTGTAACAAACAGATCAGTATACTGTGTTTGTAGAAATAATATTAAGAAGATTTAGGTAAATAAGTCATGTTGAATTAACAGTAACATAATAATAAATTGTCTCAAGTTCTTAACAACGCCTCTCAGCCGATCGATGAAGTCATGTAGCTCAAAGCACGCCCAGTCGTATTTACTTAGCTAGTCATGGCAAAGGCAGGCAGTAAGCGCTCGTCGCCAGCCACTTAGGTCTTAAGAACACGTGTCATATTGTTTTTAACAGATTTGGGAAAAAGATTACGAACATAGTCAGCTAGATCATTACCGTAACGCATATCAGCCTAGATAGTTTACCAGGCGTAGCGTATTCCGGTAATGTACGCCTGGGGAACCATAGACACCCTATGAGCCCTACTTGCATAACCCAACCCAGCTATCCCTGAACTCTAAGCTAAACCCTAACATATCAGTATAGTTACCCAGGAGTACCGTTGCCGTTATTTCGCGGCAGTACTGCTTGGGACATAGACCTAATGAGGACAAGTAGTGGACGGCGTACTGAATGCTGGCAGAGGGTTGAGGTCCCCGGGTACTATCGGAGGTAACCCTGGGGTACAAGTTCGATATTTATCGGATACGTACCGGATGGTAGCTAAATCTACATATGCCAGGAACCCGTACCGTCGCCTACATGGGACACTAATCATAATGAGTCTAAAGTAGTTGCGCCTATAGCCGGCGGGCGACGGCCTACTCCCTAAAGCCTAACGCTAACCCTAACACCTAACCAATAATCAGATAGTTACCCAAAGTGGTACGTCAATATATCGGAACGTAGACGCCAGGGTACGTTCCGATACGTGAGCGCGGCAAGACGACTTATAAACAATCGTAGCCGCCCGCCCCTTGTAGTGGGAGTTTTAATAAGCCTATAGGATTAGATTATTGATTTTGGTTTTCAGTATAGATGTAATTTACTATGTCCCTTCACAAGTCATAGCATAATATGCGCCATAACTTCGCAATGACTATATTTCTATGGTTTAGAAGCTGGCAGAATCGCCCGACCAGTGCAGCCGAGGAGACCAGATATGTATGATAGATGTAATTAGAATAAATGAAATTAATAATTGTTAAACATCCAAAGCTATATATCATCTTCACAAACTATAATTGTATGAATTATTTTGTATTAGGAGAGTTTAAAGCGTCTGCACCGCAAGATTTTCATATTTATTTGGCTCTGCCCAATATTTTTCTACTTTTATAGATTGTCATCGCAATGGAAGAAAAAACGAGGAACTTGAAGTGACAGATTGGACTGGAATGCACGCCAACCTGTAAGCAGTGTGGACAAATCCGCCTGCACTGAATGGAAGTGTGCTGACATGATAATTCAGAGCGACTAAGTAAAATTTGATTGTACGGCCACATGTGTTTCGGTACTAAATAATCCTATTTATTTTAAGACTA